CCTCCCTGCCACCGGGGATCAGCAGCGCTCTCACGGTGGCCGAGCCCCTTCCCACTCACAGCCGGGATCCTCACCCCAGAGAAACGCCCGCCTGCAACGGGCCTTAATCACTGTCCTAACCGAGCGAGCCGTGTTTCTCCTCCAGGTTTAGGGCGCGGTACTAGACCCCCGACGGCACGGAGAAACCCCCGGGGCCACTCGGCCCGCCGTCGCCCCTCAGGCGGGTGGCGCGGCCCGGCCGCCATCTCACGCCCCCCCCGCCGGTGTCCCCGCTCTCGGAGCGCGCTTGGCACTTACCACAGCCCTCGCCACTAAGGCCAGCATGGCTCCGCGCCCGCCCGCGGCCCCGGCCGCCACCCGCCGCAAGGACACCGGCGACACCGGGCGCCGCCGCCCCGCCGCCGCGCTCGGCCGCCAAGAGGCGGGGCCACCCCGCCGCCATCTTAGAGCGGGGCGAAGCCCGCGCCGCCACCTTGGGGAAGGGCAGGGAGCCGCTGGGAGGGGGAGGGAGTGCCGCCACCGGTGTCAGAGCGGGGACGTGGCGCTTCTGCCAGGAGCCTTCTGCGAGAGCTGGTGGTGGTGAGAAAAGCGTCCCCCTCCTCCCCTGCTCGCCGAGGTGCGCCTCCTCTCCCCTCCGCGCACACCCGCCCTTCGCAGCACCGCAGCGCCCACCACAAACATGGCCGCCCCGCGGTCCGGTGTGGGCAGAAGCGGCCGTGCCCCGTACAAACATGGCGGCGCGGGCCGCGACGGTGGCCGGGAGAGGCCAAGCCGCCTGCTGGCTGCCCCGGGAGCGAACAGGGTCAGGCGGCGTGCCCTGCTTAAAGATGGCTGCCGGCGGCTTCGGCGTGTGTTGAGGTGAGAGGTGAGGGGTGGCAGCGGCGGTGGCCGGGCTCCGGGAAGATGGCAGAGAGCGAGCGGCGGGCAGGTGAGGGGTGGCCGGGGCGGCTCTGGGGCTTCCTGGTCTGGGGGCTGCACTCGAGGTCCGTGAGGGGTGTCTTAGGGGTCGGGGTGCCGGGCCCAGGCTGTGTGGGGAGGGGGAGGCGGATTGGGCCTCGTGCTGCACGGAGGGTCCGGGGGCGCCGGGTGACGGCGGCGAGCGCCTGGGCCTGTGGTGGGGTGAGGTGGGAAGGGGCTTTGCTGAGGTAACGAAGAGGCCCTGGGGCCCCCGGACTCTCGAGAGGGTGGGACAGGGAGCCCCGGCACCAGCGGCCGCCCGGCCCCGCTCCGGGCTGAGGCCCCCTGGGCCATAAGTTGCCGGCACGGTTGGGGCCGGGTCCCCCCGAAACGGAGAGGGCTGGGCTGGTGCTCCCTGAGGGGTCTGTGCCCCACAGCAGGGATCTGGGACAGGGTGGGGGCAGCCTCTGTGCTGTGAGGGGTGACAAGGTGTGTGGGTCCCTCCTGTGCACCCCAGGGCGGATCGGGGTTTAGCCTGCTGGAGAGCTGGAGTCGGGGCTCCCTGTCATCTCTAGCCCATTTTTGTGATTGTTTCCTGTTGCTGAGGTGGATGGTGTTTGCTGGCGGGGAAAGGTCCATCTTGGGGCTGAGTTTGATTCCCCCTCCCCACGCCATGAGAGTAAAACTAAAAGTGTCTCCTTTGTCTAAATTGCTTCTCATCATAAAACTAACCCATTCTTCACCTGTCTCCATCACATCATTGGTTTTGGACTTTTGCTTATGTACTCATTTTATAGTCTAGTAACCCCTGCAGCCCTCACTGTGCTTCCTTCCTTGAGTATTTGTGGTCTCCTCCCCAAGAGGAAATGCACAAAGTGTGTGTCAGAAGCGATGGTTGAGAAACAAATGCAAAGAGATGAAACAATCTCTGTGATGTGATAGAGGTTGGGCTAACACCTGGATCCCCCCGGTCCAGGACACTGCCCTGGCCACATCTCTGGTCTTTATGTATCATCTGTATTAATGGACAAGTCAGTGTTTGCCATTTTACACCACTGCTCTAGAGTTTTTAATTGTTTTCATGTTATAAGCTCTATTAAAATAAGAGCTCCATCATTACGATGCTAGTCATTGTGAGTTGTGTGCTGACTTTTCAGAAGAGGCATGTGTATCTTTCATTTAAATTCCTTGCATGTTGTTCTTCTCATCCTTGTACCTCAAACTTTTACTGTAACTTATGTGCAGGTATGAACCAAACACTGTATCACCCTGGACAGGTGATGAGACTGCATTTGCTCTGTAGATGGGAAACTTGAAAGGCAGAGAAGTTAAATGACTTCCTAAGGTTATGTGACAAGTCTACAGCAGATTCTGAATGGTTCCTGGGACTTTGCATTCTTTTTTTCCCTGACCTGCCTGCTAGACAGCACTGCTCTGCTGCAGAAAAGGCTGCTGCTGCTTCTGGGTAGTATTTTCTATGTAAATGCAGCTAACATTATTTTAAGGAGTTGGAGTTTGGTGGTGTATGTTAGGGAGCCAGTGCCTGAACTTGCTGTAGTGTGGAGAGCAGTCGCTGAAGTGTTGCCAGGGTGGCTGATGCTGAAAAAATGCCTTCAGATTTTCTAGGATTAAAAGGATGAACTAGATGACTCTAACAGAATTCATAAATTCACATTAACACCCAGTTTCTTTAACAGTGGTATGCTGCATTGCTTCTTGCTATTAAAAGTTGCACTTACAGGAAAATGATGCAAATTACCTCCAATGTCATGGAGCATTTCTGGCTCTGCAGTGTCCCATTGCGGGACTGCTGGGTGAGTGCAGAGCTCTGGAGAGTGTGGGGTAGGCATCACCCTTACAGCAGGGTTGGGTCCTTGGTTCAGATGCCGGAGAAAAGAGGACCTCTGATGCATTAACAACTTGCATTTTCATTAAATATTACATCCTGGGCTCTGAGAGAGCTTTAAAATAAAATGATCTTCATAGCTTCCACCTGGAAGAGGCTGTGTCCCAGCATTCTCCAAGCCCCTGTGCTGCCTGGACTGGGGGCTGTGGCTCTGGACTGCCATCTATTGAATTTCTCCAGCTTTGACTTTGCAGGAGTTATCCTCTTTAGAGGAATGCAGTTCAGGCTTAACAGCCCCAAAACAAGACACAGTTAGTTTGTTAGGAGAGCGCAGTGCTTCAGTGCAACCTGACTCTTGTCTTTACTAGACAGAAATAATGAAACTAGCTGGATGTTGTCTTTCCTACTTCCTGCACCAGCCTTCTGTCTGGATGAGAAATGCATCTTTAGTGGTGAAAACAAACGTAATGCCGCTTTCTGAAGCTTTGCAGTGTCCTTAGGCGTATATTATCTGGGGATCGGGAGAATATTGTTTGTTGAGGAAGTCTTGGTGAGATATTGGCGCAAGCTGGGATGGACTTGTTTGCTTCCTGTCTCCTGAGAAATTAATGTTGATTTCTGAGAAAGGAAGCTAGAGGATTTCTTCTTCTCCACTGCTTCCACTTTATCTCTTTTTTGCATCTCCCAGGCACCTCTGAGGAGGTGGCTCCTCCCCTCCAGCAGAACTTCATGATCCCCAAAAAGGAGATAAACATGGTTTCTGATATGGCCAAATGGAAGCGCTCTCAGGTATGGCTCTGGGGTCAGGGAAAACTGGTAAGTGCTTATTATACTTCAGTGGCAGCCAGATCTGGACTGGAAACAGCCACGAGGTAAAGCAGGTTTAGGCAAGTAATGGGAAATTAATTGATTAGTGTTTTAAAGCAGAAGAGTCACTGCTTGTTTGTAGCAAAATGACTTGACAGTGAGGTGTGGAGTCTGGCAGCCAAATGGCTCTGACAAAGGAGTGAGCCGGGGAGAGCCCAGAGGTGGAGGTAGACCAGAGATGCTTAAAAATTATTACGGCTCCCTCCCAACAATCTAGATGAGAAGCTGGTAAGTATTTCATCCTACCCAGCTTGTACATTATATCAGAACTGGATTTACCCAGTGCTGTTTGAACTCAGCTAGGGCATGGTCCTGCTGCCTGGCCCTCCAGTAGCATCAGGCTGGGCTGGTTCCCTGGGCCTTCCCACCTTGCTCTACTGGAAAGGGCTCTAGAGCCAAGACCTTCCATTTCCTGGATAATTTTTGTTTACAGTATGTGTGGAGCTTGTGGAACAGTCAGGTTTTCCCCTCTCTGCCTTTGAGGGTTTGGTGTGTTAGCCCAGACTTGTTCCACCTCTTAGGAGCAAGTTTTCTCTTGATGACTGATCTGTGATGTCTTAAGAGAAGCTTAAATTATAGCCAGGTCTCAAAAAACCCTCTGAGTGCAGCTTCCTTTGTTAAGTCTCCTGGGTTTAAGTACTTGCCACTGGTCAGGATTTTTGCTCCGGAGGGGCCCAAGAAGAGAGAGGTGGCAGAATGCTAGTCTGGTGTTTTCAAAGACTTAGAGCTGTGGAGCTGCACTAGATGTAATGCTTCAAAAGCAGCGAATTTAAAGAGAAGAGAGGTGAGGAGCCAGGGCTGTCTTCTGCTTCTCCATCATTCATGAGTGTGGGAGAAGAGTAAAAGGAATAAAGGGGAGATAATGGTGCAGGTCTGGGAGAAGCAGTGATCAGGATATCTAGGCACAGCTGAGACTCTGCAGAGCTGAGGAGTTTGAATTTGACCTGATAAGAGGCAGGGAGCTGAGGGAAGGATTTCAGGGGCAGCACAAGCTTTTTTTAAGTTTCTCCTCTCTGTAATTTTTAAAGTGATGCAGAGTTCTTGTGCAATCACCATCTGCCTCAGAGGTCTGCCAAAAATAGCAGTAACCTCTCAGTAAGCCCTGCACCCTGAGTGTCTCCAAGAAAGCAGCGTTGTGTGCTGGAAAAGGTTCCCTTGGCATGCAGGAGTGCTCCCATGCCACATTGCTTGTTCAAACAGACTGTGGGCATTCACTAACACCCTGCTCTCTTGGGTGTGTTTGCAGGCATATGCAGATTACATGGGTTTCATCCTCACTCTGAATGAAGGTGTCAGGGGCAAGAAGCTGACCTGCGAATACAAAGTTTCAGAGGTAGGAGAAGATTTTGGATCCCTTGTTTTTCCTTTTCTGCTTCCCATCCCCCCCCCCTTTTTTTTTTTTTTGGCTCTACAGTGAATATTTCGTAGGTGAGGAATGAGTTGGCGGTTTATCTGGGAGCCAGGGAGAATAAATGCAGTTGGGTTATGCTGGTGGTGAAAAGGAGGTTGCAGAAGGACATGTTATGACACTGTTTTCCCAGGTTGACTTCAACCAGTGGTATTTTGAAGAGATATGATATTCCTTCTTGGTTGCAGGCAAAAGGCTGAGATGTCTGTACTGTTCCTGTTCTCCCACTGCCTTTCTCTGGGACCTTGGGCAAGTCACTTGTCTCCCTGTCCCTGGGAGGGAAAAGGCAGTCATCCTCACTGGTGTTACTGCCTGGGCTCAGCTGTGCTCACTGCTGGCCAGGGATCTCTGGGTGCTGCCGTGATCTGGCCACCAACTTTACTTTTATGTTGCTTGCTGGATCCCCCTCCCTTGTTCTGACATGCAGTGAGGAGATTCTTGGGTACATTTTTACTGTTCAAACCTATCACAGCTACAGCTGTGCAAGAAAGTCTGTAATAGTCTAAAAAGATCCAGACACAATGGGAAGCAGTGGGCCCTGTGTGTTTATAGCTTCATTCTGGTGTGGGAAGGCAGCCTACGATGATCTTTAACTTAGTCATTTATGTTTGAAGCAGGCATGTTAAGTCCAGCTTCCCCTTCTAGCAGCCAGTGTGTGAATGAGAAACTTGCTTGTAGTTCATGGGGGGGATCAGAGATAATAAGTCCTTCCCTAACAGGCGCTTTGTCCACCTTTTGTTCCTTCAATTCAGTAAAAACTGCTGTCAAATGCTGCCCTTGCTTTCTACTGTTTGCATTTCACCTTTGAATTTTGTCTTTGTCATGATCTCATTCCCAACCATTCACAGAGAAGTTCTAGGAAAACAAAGCATTAAAAATGAGCAAAACAAAGGGGAAAAAAAAAAAAAAAAACAACTCTTCTGCCGACCCCTTTGAGCTGTTGGCTATCTAGGAAAAGCTGTATCAGAGCTGCATCCCTGCAGCAGATCCCTCTTGGAGCGAATGTTTATCATCCATGGTCCCAGTCCAGGTAATAAACAAGAGACACAATCCTGACTGCTTGGGAAGTGTCAGGGAACATGTCTCATTCCCCTCGCGCTGAGGAGTGCAGAAGCCTGTGACTTGAGGCACAGGTGGAGCATCCCCAGGGTTGCCTTGTTGATGAGGTTGCCTGTTCACGCGGGTTCGTTTGTAGATCAAACTGCTTATCTGTGCTTTTAAAGGCTCAGCCCCTTGTGGCCTCTGCTTGCATCTCTGCTCTGCTTTCTTCTCTTTTGCTGTACCTGCTGCTGATGTGCTTTTGTGCCGTCCCATCTTCTTCCCTGATCAGATGCTGGGGACGCCTTCCTCTGGCAAATGACCTCCTGGAATCCTTTCTGCTGAATGTGTATCCTCTCCGCAACTTACTGATACTGCTTTGCCATAAGGAAAAAAAAAAAAAAAAAAAAAAAAAGAAAAAAAAAAGTATGGTCTGCTCTGCTTTGAAAGAGACAGCTTAATGGTTTCCAGAGTAGCGTGTGTCAATACCAAACTGTCTGCTGAAGCAAGAGCTGGATCCTTTGGGGGCTGAGCCCCTTCTAAGACTTGCTGAGCTTGCTCTACTCTTACTGAAAAATTGCATGGAGCTGTCTGGGGTTTTGCTGGAGGCATCTGACAAGTAGTGATAGCTGAGCTGTTGTTTAGAACTGGCGTAGACACTATGTCTGGCACAAGGTTGTATGACTGATAGGCTGTGACCTGCCTTCTCCTCCTGGAGGGAGTGCATTTCACATGGGAATCCATGCAGCAACTGCTGGGGCTGCAGCCTGATGCAGTTTTTCAAAGCTGTGACTTTGATCAGAGGAGTGTTGCAGCAAGGAGAAGGTTAATTTTGGCCATGCGGGGATCAGACCTTCCCTTCAAACAGTTGGATGCAGTGGGGGAAATGGCCGGCCTTGTGGCTTGCAGTGGTTCCAGGAGGGAAGCAAGGGAAGCAGCAAATGCCCTGATTTTAGCAGCTCCCCCTTCTGACAGGGCCCGAAGAGCCCACAGGGACAGTCTTGGTCCCCGTGGGCAGCTCTGGCTGCTGTGATGCCTTCTCAGCACCTCCGTCTGCCTGGCCCCTGCTCTTGAGAGATGCTGACAGGTCTCTGCTCTGCAGGAGGCTCTGTGGTTTGCCTTTGGGACCGGTGGCAGACTCAGGGTCAAGGGGATGCAAAATCAGCACAATGAGAAGAGCAAGGAGAGTGGAGGGGGGAGGCTGCCCTTGCTTTGATCACTGGAAAGGTAAAGCAAAAATAGAGCTTAAAAACCCAGCCAGGCAAAACAAGGCTGCAGTGGTGCTGATGGTTGTGTTCCCGTAAGCTCTGCTCTTCCCTTTCTTCTCCCCCGCTGGGGTCAGCCCTGGTTGCCCAAGTTTCCTCTGCTGGACAATGGGAAGCTGCTCCTTTAGTAACCCCCTTTTCAAAGGGCCTTGAGCCCAAAACGAGTCACATCTCTTTAATTATTTATTGGCGTGGCTGAGCCGGCAGCTGGGTCCTGCTCTCCCATGTTCAGTGGGGCTGGGCATTTTAATCCCTTTAAAGCAAGCGAGTGGGGAAGGGGAGGTTCGGCTCTCGCGCTCCCCAAGGCCTGCGGGCAGATCTGGGGAGGGGGAAGGAGCTGGTCCTTGCCAGCCATTTATCCAGGCAGCACTGAATGCTCGCTGAGAGAGGTTTGAAATACGGTGGCTGCTCATAATGAGCTGCTGGTGCCGGCGGATAAATCACCAGCACAATTTAATTATTTAATGCAACCCAGTGCTGGGGATGCTGTTGCTTAATTGGAGGGGAATGCAGTAGCCAGGAAGGAGTAGAGCTGAGACCAAACCTGGCCTGGTGCAGTAGGGAAATGCTGGGTTTCTGCAGCATTTTGGGCAGCAGAGACCTGAAGCAGAGCGGGGTCTTTCTGCCTCAGTCCACTCAAATCTGGGGCATTGGCCTGTTAGAGGCTACAGCTTGCAGCCTCACCAGAACACCCAGAGCTTCTGGCCTCCCATGTCCCTTGGGTGTTTTGTGTTTCTGGCGTGCTCAGTCCTTGTCCTCTATCCCAGCCTCTAGCCTTGCTCAGCGGCCAAGTGTTGAGGTCCTGAGGGGTGAGTGGATCCCTCCTCTGCCTGATCCTGCTTCCCGTTGGTTGATCCCACCATGTCCTTGGCTCCAGAGGAGCGGCTGTCTGTGGGAGGCTGTACCTGCCCTGAGACGCTTCCTCCTGGGAGCAGAGGGCATGGGGTGCGATCTGCAGCTGGCTCAGCAGCAACACGGCTCTGCCATGCCTGTCTCTCTGCCCACCCTCTTTGAGTGGCACTTCAAGGGCTAGAAACTTGCTGGGCTCGGCTCTTTCCTCGTCCTCCCGGCAGGCAATGGGAAGAATTGAACCACAGCCCAGGAGACCAGCCGGCTTCACATGGTTGATGCCTCCAGCAAAGTCAAACCAGCCGCCGCTTCTGCTGTCCTCTTTGTCCCCTTGAAGGAGGAATCCCCTCTCGAGACAGAGGAGCCTACATTGCCTGGGGCCTGGCCAGCTGCTGTGGCAGCTGACGGCTCTCCAGCTGCCTGGAGTTGGGCAAGGAGAATCCCAGAGCCTCTGGCAGGCTTGACCAGTTGTCAGCAGAGCTTCCTAAAGCTGATTGGAACTGCTTAAAGTGTGCCTAAAGTGTTGCCTCTTGGTGCGTAGGCTGTAGCTGTTCCCCAGCTGTATGGGCAAGGCATGGAGGAGGCTGCATGCATTGGCCAGCCCTGGTCATAACTGCAGCTTAAGGCATCATGCTGTATTGCCTGTTGCACCTCTCTCCTCTTCCTTCATGGCCACAGCAGTGTTGCCTCCAGTCACTCTTGTACATCCTACACAGGTTCCTCACTTTCTTCTCCCAGCACTGGGTGTAGGAAAGATGGTTCTGTTGTCTTGCTGTTTCATTTGTCTTCCCAGCAGCTTTGTGTTTGTACTGAGACATTTCTCTGAGAGCCAAGAGCTACTCATGCTTGCTCTGATGAGACCACTGGTGGGCAAACCAGGCTGCCTCTTCCCCTGGGTAGGTACAACCCGGGTAGGTTGTATTTTGCCACGTGCACTGGGTATCCCTGGGTTGCAGCTGCTGTGGTAGTCTGGCTAGTCGTGAGTTTGAAGCAACTGGCAACACACTAAGAAGGTTGACTAGTGATTAGACCCTGCTGCTCTGGGTGCTGTACAACTGCTAACACCATCGCTGCTAATCCTGGCTCCCAAGAGATGCTTCAGAACAAAGATTAGAGGCCTTGAGAATGGCCTCTAAGTCACATCATCAGCCACTAGTGAGGATATGTGGTAAGTGCTGTGCTGTATCCTGTGGGGGTTGCAGGACCCTCAAGATACAGAGTCAGAGTTTTGTGTTGGGGATCCCTGAATTGTGTAGCACTTCCCTGCTTCTCAGTCCCGTATGCCCTACAGTGTGGAGCTTGCTGTAGCTCTTCTCCCAGAGGTTTGTAGACCATAGCGCTGTCACAGGTCATGAAAGACTGTATGGGAGACTGGAGAGCCTGCCTCCATCCAGGCTTTGTACTGGACTGATCTTCTGAAGGGAAGGATGGTTTTCCCAGTCCCTCTGCATTTCAGAGTGGGTTGGCACCATCCTGTTTCCGCTTGCCACCTTTGGGAATGATGATGTGGGCTTTAATGACTCCAATCCAGGGCAGAGATGTCAGAGCCTGAGGGACTGCTCTGTTTTATGTCACTGTGACCCCTCATCTTTGTCTCTGTAGCCCATTGAAAAGCTGGTGGCTCTTCTGAATACCCTTGACAGATGGATCGATGAAACTCCACCAGTGGATCAACCTTCTCGCTTTGGGAACAAAGCCTTCAGGACCTGGTATGCCAAACTAGACCAGGTGAGCATGTCTTTTGTGTGTAGTGAAAGCTCCTACATGCAGCTTCTGCAGAAGGGCAGCGTGCCTGGCAGGAGTAGCAGAATGGCTCTGTCATTGTGTGGCAGCCAGACAGCCTACAGAGGAATTGCTCAGGTAAGCAGTGAAGGATCCACCTCTTGATATGCATCGCTTACGCCTGATCTGGTGCTGTCTTCTCCTCTCGTGAGATCATATGGTCCATGTAAATGTTATTGGCTGGGTCTCCAAGTCCTGGATGAGCCAGGAGGGCCTTCCAAGCCCAAGGAACTCCTTTGCTTTGTAGCTGCCTATTGTGTCTGCTAGCTGATGGGTGACGCACATGTTCAGAGGAAGGTTATGAAACTGCCTGACTTCCTTCACCTCAGAGCACTCACCCTGCACCAAGCTCTGGAGCACCAGGCTCTGCTCTGCACTGAGCACAGGCACAGTCCCAGCAGCAGTGAGCTTGCAGGTGGTCTGCTGCTCTATTAATGCTTTTGTCCTGGAGATGACTTAGTGGGTAACTGGGTTGATGTACTTGGATGGTGAAGCTTTTTTTTTTCTGCAGGATGTGTGTGGCCTGGATAAGTGTCAGGCCAAGCTCTCCCTGAATTGCTCCATCTCTGGAGTTGACATCTTCAACAGGAGAATTTGCTCCTGTCATGCTGGCTCTGGCCATTGTAGGAGTGCACCATTGCAGATCCCACGCTGCAGCTGTGTCTGAGCAGAGGGTGACTTGTTCCTGGGGACTGTGACAGATCTGCACTCACTCGAGGGAGTCTTTTGTGTCTTTCAGGAAGCAGAAAAGTTAGTGGCAACAGTGATTCCCAAGCATTTGGCTGATGCTGCACCAGAAGTGGCCGTGTACCTGAAAGAATCCGTGGGGAACTCCACGCGCATTGACTATGGCACAGGTACCTGGGCATGCACTCTGGCAAGGCTGGACTCCCTTGGGTAGTGATCCTTTGGAGCCTGGTGCTGAGTTTATTTGAATACGTTATTGCCACTATTTTTAGTGCCAGCTTGAAACAAACACCTTCCTTTCTAGGGCCTCCTCACCCCTATGTCTAGTGTGGGTTATGACTGAGAGAGCTGGGGCTGGGAGCAGGGCTGTGCTAGAGCTACGATACCCTTTTCATGTCTCATCTGAGGAAATGTGAACCAAGCTGTGCAAGTCATTCTGGGGTAAATTGTAGGAGCTACTTTACTGCATACAGCAGTCCTGTGCCTGCTGATTTGCAGCAGGCAGTTTAGAGGGATAAAATATAATTGCTTGAATTGGAGCTACAGCAGGAACCAAGTTTGTGTTCAGTGGGAGGTGTCTTGAGGTCTGGTGCTCCCTAGAAGTGACATCACTGTTTACAGAGGGACTTAGAAATCTGAAGGCATTTTGCACCTAAGGAGATACTGAATTGCAGGTTGAAGTAACCACACTGGCTTCAGTTAGACCTAAATCCAGAATTGTTTACGTGCTCTTCTCCTCTGTCTGGAAGACAGGTGTGTCCTCACCAAACGGCAGGAGGGCAGGATGCTGTGGGTGCAGGGAAACATGACTTTGGACCCGAGCGGGGAGAGGAAGAGGAGGATGTGGGTAAAGGGATGAAGAGCTGGAGGCTGTGCAGTGCTTGCCAGGAGAGCTGCAGCTCGCCGGCACCAGGGGGAGATGTTGTCTTTGGAAAGGGACCTGCTAGCTGGGATTTTGTCAGCTCGGGGAAGGAAATTCAGCCTTTCCTCCCCGCCTGTGTGTCCCAAGCCAGAGGCCCATGTCCTAGCACAGTGGCTAGACCATAGGTGCACTTTGTTCCTACACTGAGAGCTGCACTTCTTCACAGCATGGAGCTGCTCATCTTGTACTCCTCTTTCTTCTGTGGTCCCTTTCACTAAAAGACATTTCTGGGTTTGCTGGTTGTTTCTTTTCCTTGCTGTTAGCTGGAGGACCAACTTGCAAAGACTCAGCCTGAGATCCCAGTACCTTCTGGGACAGACTGTTCCTGACAGCGTTGTGGGATCTGCATCCTCCCGACACAGACATATTTTTGAAGCAGAAGGAAATCTGTTTACTTGCAGATGTGAGGTTCTCTTGCATCCCCTGAGCAGATGACTGCAGTGCTCCACTTCTGCTGTGCCAAGCTCCTCGGAAAGGCCCTGCCTTACTCCCAGCATGCCCAGTGTTGAAGCTGTTTTTCCTCAAGAGCTTCCTTTTTTTCTCAAAGTTAATAATCACCTTATGAATGTCTGGAAGGTATTCTTTGGGTGGGTGCTGCATGGGAGTGTAGTATTGTCAGCTCATGGCATTAATAGAACAGTAGGGTTGGGGCTCTTGAGATGGGACTGTGACTGCTGTGATTTCTGAAGAGCCCTTGTGGTGCCCACAGAAAGGTTGTTCTGGGGAGCAGAGACACCAGTGTCAGATCTCTTCATGTCTTTTATCTCTAGGGCACGAAGCTGCGTTTGCAGCCTTTCTCTGCTGCCTCTGCAAAATCGGTGTACTCAGAGTGGATGACCAGATGGCCATCGTCTTTAAAGTATTTAACAGGTAAGCTCATGGAAGGAGAAGGGCTGGAAGCATTGGGCTGTCTGAGGAGTGGTCCCTGACAGTGTCCCTTTCCAGCTGTCTGAGATGTGAGCTGTTACTGCCTTGTCTGTACACCAGACTGCTCCTGTAGTCTGGGCTGATTGTACCCCCATTCTTCCACTCATCTGCACCCATTTGGGAATAAGAAACTGTAGGAGGAGCCTCCTCCAGGGGTGTGAGCTGGGCAAATCGAGGGCCTTCTACAAAGGCATGTACATAATTAGAGAACGTGAGTGCTGAAGGGCTTGCTGGCCTAGGGAAAAAGGGCAGAATGGGAAAACTGAAGACAAATTTAGGCAAAATTAAGAGGCAGATGTATTTTTTAATGGACTGTGTATGGTGACCCATTATAACTCTCTCCAAAAGAGACGATAGCACCTTGTCTGTTAGAGGCTGAGTGTCTTCCTGGGAAGTTACTTTAGTTGAGCACAGGTTATTGAGCTCTGCAGAAGTATGTGGGTGAAGCTCTGGGCTTTGTGATAGACAGGAATATCTGATCAGAGGATCTAACATCTCTTCAGGCATTTAAAAAAAAAAAACCCAAAACAAAACAAAAAGCCAACATCTATGAAACTGGCAGGCCTCCACTGCTTCTCTAAATGTGTTTCCAGCCCAGGAGGTAGAGTTGGTAGTGATGAAACTGGTGGAATGGGTGCTTGGAGTCCAGAGATCTAATCCCAGATGTATCACTGTTTGGTGGCACGGAAAATTTCCTTCAATAGTACTTCCAGCTTTAATTTTCCACCTGAAAAGTGGAAGTAGCGGTTGCCATAAGATAGAAAGCTTTCTAAGCTCTTTTGGAAATTGTTGAAGGAGACCGAAGTGTCAATGTTTACAAACAGTGGAGTGGGGAAAGATCTGCACCAACATAAGACACTGCAGCTAAAATAAACCACTGCCACTTGATTTCTTAGTGAATCTGGTGTAAAAAGCGAAACAAAATGAAAAAAACAAACCAGTTTTTAAAAGGTGCTGGTATTTGCTACTATATGTCCCATCAGGCTGCTTTCTGTGCCAAAAGAGCTGAATATATATTCTATGTACTGTGCTGTATGTGGGGGTCCTGCTTGCAAGTGATAAAAGTTGTGTCTTCCAGACTGGTTGTTCTTATCCTTGTGCAAGTCAATGAAGACAGAAGAATGCCTTGTCTTAACCCTTCCTTCTCACTTTGGTCTCAGGTACCTAGAAGTGATGCGAAAACTTCAGAAGACCTACAGGATGGAACCTGCTGGCAGTCAGGGCGTGTGGGGCTTGGATGACTTCCAATTTCTACCTTTCATATGGGGCAGTTCCCAGCTGATAGGTACTAATAAAAATCTTTTCATGTCCCAGCCTGCCCCCTGCCCCATCTGTCTAGGTTGCAAAGATGATGGGGCTTGGGACTGACTTTTAAATTCAAATATGTCAAATTTATGTATAATACAGCAGAAGTTTGCTTGGGGCTTGGATTTTTTTTTTTTTCCCTCAGTGTTCCAATTAAAGCTCATTGCTTAGGTTGGGAGATGGAAAGCTTCCTTGTACAGTACATCTGTCTTTATTGCAATGACTACAAGCTTCTTAAAAGGAGAGTCTTGGGTTTGGTGCTAGAAAACACATTTTCTGCCCTGGGGAGTTTACCAGGTGCTCTCACTGCTGAGGTACTGGAGTGGGAGATGAGATGGAATGGAGCAGCTCTGTGCTGACTTCTGAAGAGCTCCGATGGGAGGATCATGTTTCTTCTGGAAAAAGGGCAGGACAAGACCTGATTGAACTTGATCTCAGAAGCGGGGTGCCATACAGGTTACTTCCTATTGTCTCTTTTTTTTTTTAGACCATCCAAATCTGGAGCCTCGACACTTTGTTGATGAGAAGGTGGTAAATGAAAACCATAAGGACTTCATGTTCCTGGAGTGCATTCTCTTCATTACAGAGGTGAGGACTGGAAGGTTTGTCCCACAGGGAAGTTCTCTTGACATTAGATACTTGACTCTGGCTGTGGTTTTCTCTTCTTCCTTTGCTTGCTTGCTGTCATGGAACTGTGTGGATGAACCATTGTTACATGTCTGAGATGCTCTCCTTGAATGAGTTGAGACAGGGATGTTGAGAGGAAAGTGTAATTAAGCTAGATGGGCTGTGGATTGCAGTTGAAGGGATCTCTAACAAGAGCAAACAAATAACCTTGGATCATCCCTTGGATCAGTCAGTGGGAACCTGGATGGAGAAGACTGGTGCCTGTAAGTATGCTAGGAAGATGAAGTAGGAGCTGCAAAGCGACTGGGCTTGCCAAGATAACCTCCCTTCCCTCCAGCCGTTGGGTGCTGCCTGGCAGGCCCTGGGCCTCCCTTGCTTAGGGCAGACTCAAACCTCTGTGCAGCTTTGTCTCCTGCAGATTCTACCTAAAGAGTTGCCCATTAAATGCGCCTTATTTGCAAACAGTCTAGAACAGAGATGGTGCTGAGATTCACCCAGCTGGCAGCACTGTCAGGACCATGTTTCTGCTCGAGCACTGTAGGGCCCTTGGGTGAGGGACTGGTGATACTCAGCTTGTTGCCAGCTGTGGGCAGCATTTCTTAATGAGGGAGCTCACAGCTTTCTGCCCTCAGCTGCAGTGGCTGATCTGGTCATGTTTGTACCGTTCCCCCTTGTCTGGGCAGGGAGAGCAAGAGCCACATGTGAGGGATTTTTTTGTCTCTGGCAAGAGAGAGTTGATGGGATTAATTTTGAAGGACAGAGTGCAGTTCTTCCCCTCTGTTCTGTTTGCTTTCTCCCCTTCCTTGCCTCTCTAATTTAGTGATTAGATGAGAAGGGAGGTTACAGAATATGAACTTAGCCTTTCATGTAGCAAATTTTCATAGGAGCCTTTGGCCCAAACCCCAGGAAGTGCTGTGTCTAGTAGGGTTTGTTGGTACTTAGCACCTCACAGGGTTTAACCCTTAATGCAGAGCTAAATCATGCCATGGGTAGTGGAGGTGCTGGTGGAAGAGATCAAGATGAGGACAGGAAAGCAGGAGCCAAGGCACTCTAAGATATATTTTAATTCGGGCCTCTGTGATACCCAGACAGTGCGCTAACCTGTTAAAACCATGAAAACACATCTCTTGACACGTGTGTAGAAAATTCTGCAGGGCACAGGTGACACATTAATTTTAAAATACACAGCACCATACTGCTGCTTCAGGTCACTCTGCTTTTGCCTGCAGAAAGTTAGCTTTTCAGTAGGCTTTTGAAAGAAGTGATTTCACTTCCTTTTCTGCACATTTGTTGAGAATCATGGAATTCAGCGTTTCTGCTGAGTTCCTCAGTGCCACCTGGTGGCAAGGAGCTCTCCTCTCCAGCCTTCCTGGTGTCAGCCGCTAAGGAATGGCAACAACCTGGATTATCAAATGCATGGTATTTTCAATCTGTCTTCATGCAGGCACTGTTTCCTTTTTGTACAGATTTTGCTTTTAAAATTTGTTTTTTCTCTCCCAAATGCCTGGGAAGGGTGTAACTGCCACTAGGGGGGGCTGAGACAGCCTCGAGTGCCCTCCAAATGCTTTCGTGCCAAAATCAACAACAAAACAAAATAGCAGGGGGAAAAGATAGAAGGGATTAAAGACTTTAATAAATGAAGGATATTATTCTTCTGAGCTTGTCAGCTGGAAACAGCTCTCCTTTAAAGGTGATCAGTCCGTAGCAAACACCTCAACAGTTCCCATAGTGGGTCTGGTACATCTTACCGACATGAGAGCAGGTTTTGTTTCAGCAAGCTACAACCGAGGTAGGTTGTTTTCCTTCAATCAAGAGATTGTTCTCTTGAGCAGGTATTTTTCTCAGTCCCTGGGTGACGTTTCAGGGATATGAATATACGCTGTCGTGGTGTTTGCCACGTGTATATTTAAACCTCAGGCTCTTCAAGTAGCAACAAGATGATGTCCGGGCTGAGCCCACCGAGGCATCCTCCTTACAGCAGCACCCCCCTGCACAGCGCACAGGCACGGCAGTGAGCCTTGCGTAAGCTGGGCTGCTGTTGGGAAATCTTGCGGGGTGGTTCTTGGGCAGGGTGAGGTTTACGGAGCTGGCTGGGACTCGAGCTATCCCCCCCGCTGCTGCCTTGCCTGCCAAAATGTGCCGTGGGGTGCGTGTGGTATCTGTAGGCGCGAGGACGAGGAGGGTTTGGGAGCATCTCTGCGGCGCCTGCTGCGCCAGGGGCTGCAGACAGCAGCGATGGCAGGGCTGTGTGTGTTTGGGCAGAAGGGGGGTGCTGGCTACACCCCGGCTGTTGCGGTTGGATCAGCGCGATCGCCCAGATGCTCCTCCGAGGGCCCAGGGTAGGCAGCAGAAATTTCAGCTTCAATCTGGCTTCTAAATTTGGAGGTTTGGGAAGGGAGGGCTCGGGTTTCTGCTGGAAGGGAAGGAGCTGACAGGAAAGCACGGCCTCAGCCGTCCCCCTCCCCCCGGCACTGACAGAGGAACCATTTACAAAAGGCCGATTCTCTTGGGAACCGAGAGGCAGGAACGCCGCGTCTGTGAGTAATTTCCTGCTCAATATGGCTGCTCTGACTCACTCCGTTCCCCTGGGGTCACTGCGGGACTGCAGCACGCTCGCCACCTCTCGCTCTTCCCCCCCCCCCACCCCCCGCCAGCTCTCTCTCTTTGCCTTTTGTGGCTGGAAGGAGATGATTTTTTTTTTTTTTTTTTTTGGTTCCCCCCTCGTCCCCCTTATTTTTTCCCTCCCCGGTTTGAAACTGTGGCCAAGCCGTTCCTCGCCGGGCGCCCTGGGTGAGGAGGGCCGCGGCGCTGGCTGTGCTCGCACAGCCCCAGGTGTGAGCATGGGGCCGGCCGGCCGTGCTCACCTCCTCCGCGCTCTCCCGCCCGCTCGCCCCGGCTTGAGAAGCGGGGAGAAGCAAAGCGCGGTGGCGGTGGCTGATGCAAGCTGCGCCCCTGCGAAGGGCGGTGATGCCGGAGGAAGGCTTGGCGTCGAAACGCACGCAGCCAAATCTCCGCTACGGGGAGGAGGGATGCTTTGAGCACACCGCCTGGCGCTGAGCTCCCTGGCAGCCTTTAACGCGGGTGCCCACCGGTGCCAAATCCTTGAGCTTAATAACACGCCGGCTCTGTTGGGTAGCGTCGTGCTTTGTGTGTCTGCGCGTTTCATCTTGTATCCGCAAGGAAAGCGCGCACGGCAGAGGGGAGCGGGAACGGCTGAGCAGCTCATCCGTCATCCCCCAGCTCACGAGAACCGCCGAGGGGAAGCGGGGATGTGTCTGTGCTCTGCTGGCAGCGGGCAAAACTACAGACCCGCTTCCCCCGGTGCTCTAGCCCCGAGGTCAGCAGATTTGAAACACGCTGACCTCTGAGCAGTGGGGTTTTTTTGGGTTCGCCCCCCCCCCCCCTTTCCCCTCTCTCTTTCTTTCTCTGCTGCAGGCTGGTGCCACACAGACCTTGCAGAAGGGCACCAGCAATTTCCCAAAGCAGATTGATCGGCCTTGCTTGCATTTACAGTAGACAGAGAGGTGGTTTTGGAGGCTCTTTTCCCACCCTCGCTCCAGGCCTGTGCGTACGTGGAGGGAAGGGGTTAGTTGTTGGAGCCCTGAGTTGAGAACGAGAGTCCAAGAGATTCCTCTCTCCCCACGCTCCTTTTTAGCGTGAGCTCCGGCCTTGTGGTTTCTGATGTCATGGGAACTTCGCTCAGTCAGAGTGGCTGCGTTGTATTTCTTTTTCTCCCCGAGGGTCTGTTTTTGTTCATGGAGGAGAAGGAGAGAGAACTACCCAGGGAATCTACATGCAACTGTCCCTGATTGCAGCTTTCCTCCCCCCTCCCCTCCCTCCTCCAAACCCCTTGCCCTGGGAGGAGAAACACTGGAGTATTTAAAAAAAAAAAAAAAAAAAATGTAAAGCATCTGCTGCAAGCTAGCAACTTGCAGCTCTGGAGCCAGTTTGGAGAGCAGGACTGGAGCGTGTCCCCCCCCACTCCTGCCCCCCCTGAGCCCTCCTCTGCTAGAGGCAGGTGTGGAGTGGGCTGTGGACACCGGAGCTGCTGCCAACCTGTGCTGTCCTCTGTATTCAGGGACGGCAGCGACGGTTGTCGCTGCTGCTTGTTGTTGATCTGAATGGGGAATGAGTCATTTTCTTGGAAAGCCCAGCAGTGCTGCACTGGGAGGTTTCTGGGTAGAATAGGAACAGCGTTGAGCCAAGCTCTACTGGGGGGGGGGGGAGAATGGGACTTACATGGGGCTTTTTTTAATGCAGTCATTAAAAGGGAGGTGTGCAGAGGGAGGTCTGATTAGGAAAGCGTGGCAGGAAAAGGCTTAATTTTATCGGGGAACGGGGAGGGAGCTGGATTGCCACGGCTTCATATGATGTGGCCGCAGCGGGAGGGAGCGTGGAGGGAGGGAGGGAGGGAGGGAGGGAAGGCGCAGTGAGGTGGCTGGTGCGTGGGTCACAGGGCTTGGTGGGAATGTTTGCTTGGAGAGAGTGTGAGTGTGAGTCACTGCTGCTGCACGAGCTTCCTGGCTGGCCCAGCTCCCTCAGCCCTGCTCCTGGGTCTCTTTCAGATGAAGACGGGCCCCTTTGCCGAGCACTCCAACCAGCTCTGGAACATCAGCGCTGTGCCCTCCTGGTCCAAGGTCAACCAGGGCCTCATCCGCATGTACAAGGCAGAGGTGAGCGGCGTGGGCAGGGGGAGGCTGCTCGGCCACACGCCTCCTCCATTCCATTTCACCGTGGGTCAGCTCTTCTATTCTGCTGCTCCTTGGCGTGGAGGCCTCGTCGCAGCTGGTTGCTGCCCCGTGCTGAATGTGGCTTGGGAGCAGTTCAGGTGCTGCTGGATAGAAGGAGGCTCCTGCCTGCCTAGTGTTTGCCCCAAAACCGATCCCAAAATGGCCATTCCCCTCAGACGTAACTTTTGCCATTTCTCTTCCCTCAGTGCAAGTTGCAGGTCTCCAAATTAGGGCCAGTGTCTTGACCTGCTTGTCCTTCTGGTCCCCGCACCGCTATTTTACCAGCTGGAGGAGACTTAGTTTAAATTATCAGCCCATGTTTCAAGAGCCCCAGAGCAGGCTGAACGCTTCCTACTGATCTCCCCTCACTACGAGTCCTGTCTGTGCAGAGTGCCGGTCCGGCGAGGCCGCAGCTACCCCCCCGGTTTGGCAGCCCTCCACCCTCCGGGGCTCTGCTGGCGCTGCCCCAGCAGGCTTTCCTGGCGAACCCTGACCTGGGGAACCAGGCAGTTTTGGCTCTCCCTTATCTCTCCTTCCTGCTCGAGCTAACCCTGAGCTTGAGGAAGCAGGACAGGAACCGCCACATCTGGGCCTCCTGAGAGAATGGCTGACAGGCAGCATCTCTTGCTGGGAAGGATGGGACCGTGCTGGCTCTGCAGGGAGGCACTGGCTGTGCTAAAGACGCTGGAGGAGCAGGGATGGTGCAGCTCCCTGGTGCACTCAGGGAGACTGGTGGTGTTTTGAAGAAGTTCATCCTATACCCTGTGGTCTCTACTCAAGTCATTCTGCTCCCGTTGCTGGGACATACGGCAGAGGCTCGGTGGGCAGCTCTGCTCAGGCCCAGCGCACAAAGGGGTTAACTGTGCCTAACTGGCGCACTCCCTCCCCCAGCCCTTCCTCTGCACTGCACATCCTGTGTTTAGGTTCCAGGCCACATACCTCTCTAATCTGTGAGGTGTCACTCCCAGGCCCGCTGGCTCCTTCCGCCCCCAGCTCAGCTTTCCTCCCAGCCTCCGAAGAGGAGAAGCAGGGCTGGGGGTCGACCCCCTCAGCTGGCTGCTCCTCAGAGGGGTGCCCCTGGGCTGCCCCTCTGGGACTGCCCCCGCTGACTGCTCCGTCACAGGCTGGAGATGCTGCCTGGTGGGAAACCTTGAGCTGGCGGTGCTGGTCTGCGAGTTAGGGTGTCTGAAGGGAAAACCCCAGCCCTGGGAGCACTGTTAAAGTGAAACATGGGTCCCCTAAAAGCTAGAGCCTGAGAGTGGTCATCTGCTGCCTTTGACAGCCCTGCCTTGGCCCTTCCTTCCCTTTGGACCAGCTCCTTCACATGCTGTTTGGATACTCCCCTGGTTTCCCATGTGCACCATGCTGTTGGGGTGCTCCTGCCTGGTGCCCCGCATGCCCTGTGCTCCGTGGTTGCTCCCATCTCATGCACCACACAGGTGGCTGGAGGAGCTTGGCAGTGACCTGCCAAGAGTGCAGTGTGCATGTCCACTGATGTCTTGGGGCCACTGTGTGCTGGCAGATCTACCTGGCCTGCTGGGGACAGTGCAGCTCAGGGATCCTCTAGAGACTGGGAGACTCCTTGGCTCTTCTCGGTGTACCCAAGAGAGGGTCTTTTCTGGAGGCCTTGGTCTGTTTCGAATAGTAGATGACATTCAGTGTGGAAATGCTGGATCCAGTACTGTTGGGTTTCTAGAAATATCTAGAGATGTAGCTGTGTCAAGGGGAGGATGCAAAAACTGCTAGGAAGAATAACAACATAAATTTAGGCTAGGGTATAGAAAACATTGAGTCAACCAAAGCACTTTAGATTTAGTTTTTTCCTCAAAGAACATTTGTAGATCTTAAAGGACTATTCCTAAGTGCATGATCCTCATGCAGCAGTGTCCTGTCCTGGCACCACATGGTGCCCATGTTCACCTGGAGGGGCAGAGGAGAGAGGGGACTCGGGCTGAGTTGTCCTCCTTGGCTCCTTGTATCTGCTCAGGGGAGGCTCCCACCCTGCTGCTGGCTCAGACCGTTCCTGCCTGACTTGGAGATGAGAGGAGCAGGGACATGGCAGTGTGGCTGGGCAGAGCTTTCAGTCATGGTGTGCCTGGCTGTACAGGTTTTATCAACATTTGCAGCTAGAGGATCTCTTTGACTGATTTTCTGGGAATGACACGATGTTCAGGAATCGCTGAGGCTTCATCCTTTGAAAACTGAATCCTTCTGGGTGTTTCAGGCTAGACACCCACAGTCACTGCTGAAGATCTTGTCTGTTTGCTGCTGACTCCTGGAGCAGTTTCTGCTCAATGTACCCATCTGTGTAGGCTTCATCACTGCAGTCATTCTCCAATTAGCCACTGCCAATGTTAGTAGAAGGTAAGTGAGCCAGCAGGCCCCAAGTGCTGACATGGGTCTTTGTCCAGCTCGAGGCAGGCAGCTCCTGTGGCAGAGCTCTGAGCGTGTGGCAGTAGAGGGAAGGTTTGGGGTTGTGGTGTTGCTTTTTGTCTGACTAGTTAAGGTGAGAGCAAGATTTTTTCTTTTTTTTTTTTTTTTTTTTTTCTGCCCCTCTGATCACCCGTTGCAATTAGATCAGGTGAAATCAGACACTCAGATCGAGGCTCTCGCTCCTTAACATGTCTGGGGTGGCTGAGAAGTGCTTGGTGCCGGGCGGCGCTGACCGTGACCAGGTTTTGAGTGGAGGCAGCAGCGGGGTGAAGGGGTCATTTGCTAGAAGCAGACCAGGAGAAATCAAATGCTCACTCGCAACCTGGTCTCACTTGGTGGGAGTAGGGCAGTCCTCAGACCTGGTTCATTTAAAAAGCACTCTAGACACTTTATGTCTTCCGTGTCCCCTCTGTAGAACGATGTTAAACAGCCAACAGAAAGCTCAGGTGCGTCCGTGTGGCTGTGAGCTCTCGTCCGGATCCAGGCACTCCAGGGTGCTTGCTGCAGGGTCTGTGGATGGGCAGTAGACTGAAGACAATGTGTCTTCAGCTCTGTGTATTTGTGAAATCTCAAATGTGTCTATTTATAATATAAATATAATGGGTGAAGACGTGTTTGCTTGGAAGTGCAAGGGCTTTTCTTATTCTCTCCATCAAAGGCGAGTGAAGAAGTCGACAGAATAGAGTGTGGTTAAAGCAGCAGCCTTGATGTTTTTCCTCTAAGCCTGCTTTTGAGTCTCCTGACCTTTCCTTCTCTGCTGCAGTCAGTCGGGAAATACTTTCCATTGTAACTAATCTAGTCCCAGTTCCATCTTTAAAGGTTGGACTTGATGCATGAATCTACTTCCCAGTTGAGTCCCAAGCAGACCTTCAGCATGATCAAGTGGTGGCAAGAAGAAAATAAGCCTGTCCCCTCCATTGAGCTAGTGTTGGCTACATCATTTCCACCCACAAGTGATGCAAAGAGGTGCTTTTCTATTGGCACCTCTAATAATCCTGTAAATTTGTACAAGTCCTGCTGGACAGAGGAGGAAAAGATTCTCTGCTTGTCTCTTCTTGGGCTGGTGATGTGTTAAGTGGAATGGATACCCATACTTCCCACTGGTGGTGAAGTCTCTTCACGCAGAGCCCAAACCAGTCTGGTCTTCTGTGGGACTCCTTAGAGCTAGTTGGGCTGACATTTCTAGCTGTCAACATCTCCAATATTCATTTCTCTCTGTTCTTCCCTCATGTCACTGTTATCCAGCACTGCTTCCTCTGGGGGTTTGTTTAAGTGGTTGTGCGGGGAGATGGCAGCAGCTCTGAGCATTAGGAAGCTTTGAAGGTGATGTGTCCTGATGGCCACAGGACTTACTTCTGCTTGGTTCCTTGCCACGGAGGCTTGTGGTTTTCTGCATGGCTCTTATTCCCCAGGAGTGGATACAGCCCTACTGTACTTTGACCACCTCCAAACTTGCTTTGGCTCCAGTGTGCTTGGGAGCAGTTCAGTCGTGCTGGAACCAGTTGTCTGACCTCTGGCTCCGAAGGGATAACCATAGGCCTGGGCTTCTGAGCACAAATCCTCCTGCTTGCCCATGACGACAGCACGAGGGCAGGCTGCCTGCCTCTGCCTGTGCCCTGCCTTGCGATGAAGAGCACACCGCTTCCTCCCCATCCCCAGAGCTGGGACCTCCCCTGCTGCAGTGGGTTCGGCTCAGCCCCATGGAGGGCACAAGGCTCCTTCCTATGGAAAGGAGAGTCGTAGCTACAGCATGGCTCTTGCCATGCTGGGAGGGAGGAGCTGTGCTTCGAAGAAGTGCCGGGAGGAACAAGCTGTGCATCTTGTCCCCAGGATCTGCCTGGGAGGCTGCTGGTTACAGGCAGGAGCCAGTTTGGCCTTGACACCCTCCTGCTGCTGGTTCTGCAGCTCGGGGGGAGCTGGGCATCTGCTTAGCGCAGCACCCCATCCACCCCGGCTCTGAGCAGATGCTGTTTGTGCCGAGGAGTTGCTGGGACTAGACGGACTCTTGTTAGTTGGTAGCTGCTGTGCTTTGGTCCTGTGTATTTCACATCTCCTGTAGAATAAGATTCCCATCAGCAGATCCATGCCTCGGTTGGGTACAGGGGAAAGGTTCTCCTCCCAGGACAAAGGGCACATGGGTTTCTTTCCTCCTCGGCATATCATGCTGCCTAGGGAGGGAAGAACTTGCCCCTCTGCTTGCAGCAAGGAGGTGGCCACCATCTCAGTAGCCATGCCCCCAGGCTTCCTGGCAGATGAGTCCCCGTTGCAGCACGGTGAGGTGGTCTCTGGCCGTTGTTTAGCACGACTAGTCACGGCTGACATGGGTGATGTCAGTGCAGATGCAGCTGCTGGGTTGGTGTACACGTACCGCTGAGGTTTGCGTGTCTGGAGGTGAGCGCTCTGTGAGTTTTGGGCAGTCTGAATCTGCAATGACAAAAAATCCAGAGCTCTGAGTGGCTCTGCCAGGGGGGTGCTGGCAAACTTTGCCATGGTTATTGACCACAGGCACTGACCTTCCTGCCCTGGCAGGGTGGTGAGCAGAAGAGGCTTTGCCCTCCCAGCCCGGCTCTCGTTGTGCAGGGCCCGAGCTTAGCTGGAGAAAGCAGCTCTGAGCTAAGCTGCCTTGTAGTGGACATCTATGATTGATCTGTAATCCACGCTCCCTCTATCATTACCCCGCAATGGGGAGTGAGAATTTCAGGGGTGAGGAGTTGTTGGGAGTAGGATCACGTCTTAAACTATGGCAGCAAAATCGCTGGTGCTCGTCTATCAAAGACCTGAGAATCTGGAATGCAGTTTGGGCAGCGCCTTGTGTTTGCAGGATGGTGCCTCGAAACCGGAGTGTGGGCACTGTCCTGAGGAGGGAGAGTCTCTTCCCCGGGGGGTTTCTGCAGTTCTCAAAGTGTTTGAAGGGTGAAGCTCTTCAAAGAGATCAGCTCGAGCACGGAGAGGTGGTGAGAGAGAAAGCTGCTGACATAAACATGCCTTTTCTGCTCATGCTCCAGGCCTGAATTTCAGCAAGCTCTGGCTCTGGCTGAAGGGAAGGGGATGGGGTTATGAAGTGTTACTGCCCTGAGAAGCCTGAGGGGAATGTTGGGGGGGAGGTATGGGACTGATCCTTCTGCCTGCAGCTGAGCTGAGCGGCCCCGAGCTCGCTGCCTCCTGACCCTGGAGGCAGGATGTAGCTCTGGCTGCGTGCGTAAGGTGGAAATGTCTCCTGAATTCACCTCTCTTTGTCTCCCCTCCTGCAGTGCCTGGAGAAGTTTCCTGTGATCCAGCACTTTAAGTTCGGCAGCCTGCTCCCCATCCAGCCTGTGACTTCCTAAGGAGGCCGCGGGAGGAGTTGAGGCAGCAGAGGCGTAGCGCGGCGCTCTTCCTCCTCCCCTCACCCCCTCCTCATCACCTTGCCCGTTACACACAGCCCATTCATTCCTGCACATCCTCATCGGCAACCACAGATCCAAAGCACTCGCCGGCCTTGCACAGGAGACGGGACCCGGAGCGGCTCCTCCTGCACGTCCCCAGCACGGGGATGTCTCGCCAGCGACAGCGGCTGTGCTTCTCCACTCCGCTGCATCCACGGGCAGCACGACTGCGGTGTACAGCGCTGGGCATGTGAATGGGGTTTGAGTAGGGGCTGCCTTGCGGCAGAGGCCCTCTGCTTCTCTTCCCGGGAGGAAGGGGGTGTGGAGGGGAGGAAGGCACGTGTGTGTGTGTGTTGGGCAGTGGTAACTTGAGTTTCCCTTTTGAATTTCATTTGAAGTTTCCTGTTGCTGTTTGGTTTGGGAAACCACTGCAAGGGTTGAAGTGTGAACCTGCACGTGGCTGTAGGCAGCCACCTCTGCTTGCACAGGGAGGTCTGAAATGGGTAAAGGAAGTTGTAGGGAATGTCTGTGGGTTGCTGGAAGCCCAGGGTGCCATCTCTCCCTTTTTCTGGGTAAGGAAAGCCCCTTCCTTCCATCTCTTCTGCAAAATTCCCTGGGTCTTCCTTTCCTACTACCGCCTCTTCTCTTGGGTGACGCTGGGAACCTTCTGGGCTGTGGGGTCTGAGCTGGCTCTGGAGCCGAAACAAGATCCCTGGAGGGACCTGGCTCTGTGGGAACCGCTATGCAAAGACAGCGCTTGCGCGACGCCTGCTCAGGCTCCCTCTTAACGGGCACAAAACCTCACACGTTCGCACACGTTCATCACTGGGTCCAACCTGCCCTCTGCATTCCCCGTTTCCTCCTCTGTGCTTGGCTGCCCCGGGGCTGGGCTGGCCTCAGTGGCACAAGGTGACCGTGGTTGCTACTGCTTGGTCATCACCTGTAGTGACAGCCCCATAGCAAAGGGATTTCCCCACGAAGCAGCATGTTCCCCAGCTCTTTTAGGGAGGCATCCCCGGAGCAAAGGCAGCATGAGGGGGCAAGCATGCAGCTTTACGTGCATTTATATACTTGCGCTGGAAACAAAAAGCATAAATAGCCCAGGACAGTGGGTTTTACCTGGAGAAAGATCCTTCCCTTTGTCATTCCCTGCTGGTGTTGCTGTGCTGGACCTCACGCAGAGGGACTGCTCTTCCAGTGCCACTGGCAGCAGCGTCTCAAAGGCAGGTGAATGGATGGAGACATGGCCCAGATCATACCAGCAGCCTCCTTAGGAGGGCAGAAGCGGCTGGTGCTGGGGTTGAGATGAGTTGTCGTGTCCACAGGCCTCGACCGAGGTGGTTCACAACTTTGCAGCTGGAGTAGGGATGTTTCTCTTGGGGTTCCCAGGCAGGGTGTGAGGGGGGACAGGGCTCCAATCGTGTTTGCTGGGGGTCAGTGGTGGCAGGGATCCTTTCTCTGGCACTCCTGCAGACCATGGAAGGGGCAGTGGGGTTGCCCCCAGCCAGGCTGCTCGGCTTTTGCTGCTGCACTGCTTTACTGTTGGGAGGTGGGGGGAAAGCCTGCTTGTGATTTTTTTTTTTTTTTGTTCGATTTTCTTTTTGCCAAACCTATTTGCTCCCTCTCGTAAAAGTTCTCGCAGACGCTCAGGGGAGGGAGAGTAAGAAAAGAGTCGAAATTAAGAGGCAGTGAAATGCAGGTGTCCGCAGAGCTAAAGCAGAACTTTCTAGCACTGCTACTGTCCTGTCTGCTCCTGGCTCAGCCCTGGGTGAGGGTTGCAGGGACACAAGGATCTTTTGACCTGCCTGAAACAACTCTATAAACTTGCATTTTAAATGAAAATGAAAGACTGGGGTTAAGTCTTGTTTTCCTCTTAAATGGGATGTGTGTTTTGTTTTGGCTTTCCATATGGACCCACTCCTGGAGTGGTGCTGGAGATGGTGTGTTTGCTGGGACTCGATGAGTCCATCTCCAGTGGAGCCAGTTTGGCAGCCAGCGCCTGGAGCGGAGACCTCAGGCGTCTCCACCTGTGCCCACTCACGTTGCTGGGTGGCTTTTGGCAAGTGTCACTGTGCTTTAAATGGCTGTGCAGCATCTGGCTGACAATGGCTGAGCTAAAGCCCGTGGTTTCCCAAAGCTACCCGAGGGCCAGGAATGCATCTCTCTTGGTCATCTTATGGAAATGGGGCTCCCGTGCAAAAGGATGGGTGGAAATGTTGACATCCATGCATGGGAGAGACACCAGGAATGTGAAATACAGCACCAAAAAAGGGTGGGGAGGTGCTTCCTTCCCCTGCAGCTGCAGCCACTGCTCCCCGGGGACGGTGTCCCTGGGCTTGGGACCTGCCGAGGAGGTGGGAGGTGGCTCATGTAGAGCTCTGTGTTTCTTGCTTGCCTGAGTCTGCACGTCTGTCCTGCTGGAGATTTTTGGACTTCAAGCAGCTAATTCTTGTTTGAGTCTTAGCCTGCTTGGGATGTGCCCCGCTCGCGTGGCAGTCAGCTGCTTGCCTTCCTCTGACTCCCACCGACATCCATCACTGGTTCTCGGGGCTCTGCTCCTCTCCTGCTGGGTCCACGCACGTAGCAGCACCCAGGGCCGCTCAGTGTCGGAAGCAGCACTCCCCAGCCTCCTCCCACATTGTGGTTTTAATTAAAGTCTCTGTGTTTTGCACCGGTGACTCTGCTGGTCTCTCACAGACTGGGGTTTGCTCCTGCTTTTCGGAGCGGAGCCAGCGAAGCCGATGGCTGGAGCCTTCAGCACAGGGAAGAGGCTTTATGGAGGCGCTTGCCGTGTCGGTGGTTGATCTCTTGCTTGCACCAAAATTGACTTGTTATTTAACTGCATGAAGCAAGTATACCCAGTCTGTCTTTGTATCCTCCTTAGGTGTCTTTCTGTCATCTAGTATGTTTTATTTATTTATTTAACTTTTTTGCTATGCCCACCCCCTCTCCCCCAGCTTGGATTTGGCAGGTAGGTGATGTGCGAAGCCTGTTCCCAGGCCAGCAAATACCTCTTGAAGATCAGAGACTCTTATAACCAAAAGACGTTTGAGCCTTGTTTCTGAGGCAGGGTGAGAACTGGAACCTTTTTCTTCAGATGTTTTTCCTGTCCTGCTGTAGGGGCTGACTCAGGACTTTCAGCATCAGTTTAGCTCAGCAGCTTTGTTGGATTTATATAGGAAATTATACCTGGACCTTCTCACAAGTGGTTGGAGCTAACATAGATGTGCTTTGCAAATGCAAGTTTTCTTGTCACTGGGTTATATCTTCTCCGTCAACGCAGGCCAACTGTGTGAGTGCATGTTGCTAAAAGTGGCAGCAGCGTGGAGGGATGGATGGTGAGCAGAAATGTCATCTTGGATCACAGATGTTTTCTTTGAAGACACTTGAATTCATCTTGAACTTGTCCCTTGGTGAACATGACGTGCAGTGAAGGGGAAGCAGACGTAGTGTGGGTTTCTCGCCATCTTCCCGCTCAGCCCACTGACCAAGCCAGTTTTTTTAAATTCAGTTTTCAGAACCGGATCCTTCGGGTTTGCAATACGTAGGCTGGTTCATGTTTCTGTTTAACAGCTGCTGCCTTTACACAGGGCGCGTTTTGCAAATCACCATCAACCTTCCCCCGTCTCTTTCTTTGCAGCCCTCCTTTACAAATGATTGTTCATGGCAGCCAGTAATAAATGAAGTAAGAGTTAAGAGAAGCAGCCTCGTGCGGTGATAGTAGTAAAAGAATAAAAAATAGAACTGTTTCATGCCATTGTTGCTGTATTAACTTGTCCCCGGTGTGCAGCTCAGTTCCATTACGTAGTGCTGGGTTCCTGCTATTAAATAAACAAAGAAGTCCCCACTGCAGGACCAGCGTTTGTTGAGCAGCAAAACCTGAGCTGGCAGCTTCCAGGATGAAGATGTACTTCAGACCCCAAGGAACTGGTGTTGAACCACACAAGAGCCCTGGAGGCCGCACCGTGTCCCTGCCACTGCGTTGACTTCCTGAGAGAGGGAAGGAGGCAGAAATGGGTGGGAGAAGGTGAAATTGGTGGTTGACGATAACTGCTAGTGTAACCTCAATTCTCCTGCCGCCCGTGTGCCAGCGGGAACCTTCTGCAGTTGAGAAGCTCACGGGGATCTCGCTGCTTCAACAAGGACTCTCCTGGCTCAGATGTAGAGTTTAACAGGACTTTTGGAGGTCATTTCATGCTCTAATAGCCAAGAGGAGAGATCTTCATCCTTTAAGGTTGCTTCCCCTTCGGTGGATGAGCACTCTTCCCACTGACATCAGAACAAACTCCTTGAGCATCCTGGGGACAGACACGTCTTTCCCTGGACTGATCTTGTAAAAATTGTGCCAAGCTTCAAACTAGGATGAGCCAAATTGAGAAAGGGCTGCCTCCACATCAGATTTAGTGAGGACTGAACCATGACGGGCATCTCCAGCTTGGAGATACGCTCGTTCTGAAGAGCACAAGGCTGTGAGCAGGCTTTGGAGGTTAGAAAAGGCTTTTGAGGGGGTGGAGTGGGTGCTTCTGCTTGCTATAAAAAGCCTGGGCTTGGGAATGTCTACATCGGCCGGCTCTACGCAGGGCGTAAATACAGTTGTCGCTAAAATTGGAACGAGTCACTCCCGTGTTCCCAGTTGCAACTGTAACACAGATAATAAATAACATTGAAATCCCTCATCAAAATTCGGGCTCCTTAATGCTCAGTGCGTGTAAACCCATGGAAAGGGGAGTGGGGTCTGGCGGGAGCGGCGCTGCGGGGCCCTGCTCCAGCGGGCACTGAGGTGCGTGTTTAAGTCCTCCTGATCACATACTTGCTTCCTTTTGTAAAAACAGATTAAGGGTGTGCTCAAGGATTTGCTGAGCCTATAAATGGGGGAAGGAGAGAAAGCAGAGGAGCAGTTCCTTATCGGTTCTTCTGTTTCTAAGACACCTGGGAGAGATAAGCCCAAGCAGAGTGCACTGCACAAGTCAAGGTACCCAAAGTATCTATTCTGACAAGATTTCCTCCCAGTTTGATGTGTGGGAACAGTTTTTTTGGACGTAGTGAGGTCTACAGTGCTGGGCTCCAGCCTGGTGAATAGTTGGGTAGCTGTAGAGCACTTCATGTGTGCAGGGTCAATGAGGTCCAGCAGCGCCGCGCTGCTACAGCCTGCGTGTAGACACACCGCTTCAGGTTTCAAGCGGTAACGCTGCTCAAGGAAATACACGTTGTACTACTGCTAAGAGCAAAGCATGCCAATGTTCCTAAGAGTTGATATGTCCTATAACGGCTACAAACTATATAAAATTGACTGGTGGGGTGATTAGAAAGATATTCCAGCTAGATTGTAAGATACTGAAACATATTCTTTTATTGGGTACTAGCTGATCACTGAAAGGAACTGCTCTGAAAAGGGTCTTGCTTTTCCATGTTCAGAGCGTATACCTTTAAAAATATTAGTTTAGGTATTACATAGCCCCTTTGAAAAAATTCCCTTGTAGGCAAGAATAAAACTTACAAAAAGGCTGTTACAGAGATCATCAGCTCTCTATTAGTTAGCTTGGAATATGCTCCACTAGCACCAGAGTTTAGTCTTCTCCAAATTACTGTAGAGGATTTGACTGTATCTTGCTGATCCATCCACATTTTAATTTCCTCTGCACGGATACATATTGCAGGATGGTGGAAATCCCCAAGCCCACTGGAGCTGCAAGACTGGATGTTTCATCCTGTAACACCAATAAAATGTTAATGCATACTAATAGCAACAGCAAAGGGGTTTATGGAGCGAGCTTGGAAGTATTTTATAATTGCCAGGGTATCTGTGTCACAGAGAATTTGGGGTTAGAGTCATCAAGTATTGTGCTTTGTCAACGCGGGAAAAGAAAACCCCTCAAATATACCTCAAACCTACTAATTTTTATAATTAAAGGGGGAAGATAGGAGATGAGCCCCTGGGGAGAGAGTCAATCATAAATTGCATATACATGAGAGAGCTGCCCACTGGTTTGGATGGATTCAGATGTGGGTTCTGTTGCCTACTCTACCACAGACCCCTGCTGTAACCTTAACTAAGGACACTGCCTTGGTTTCCCACCTGGAGACCAAGAATAAAAGCACAGTCCTGCTTTAAAAACCCAGTCGATCCAGGCATGAGGTGACATAAATACATCAGAAACGTGAAATCCAGGGTCCTGGGGCACAGGCTGGCTTCTCCATGCATTGCACTGCCTGGCTGGAGCATCTCACCACTTCTAGCAGCTCCTCACATTTCTGCTCAGATCAGCCTGGTGGTGGGGTCCTGTTTACTGCAATCTAAGATTAAAAAAAAATAAATAAATTTGAAGTTGGGGTCTGAGGGACCAAGTTTCCTCCATTGTGCAGTGTTTCCTTGTGCTGCTCTTGCCAGAACTGCCAGCCTTTGGTTGTGCCCCTCACCCTGCCTGTCCTCACCATGCATCTCTGAGATGCTCCAGTTGGTGTTGGAGGACTGTGAGACGAACACAGTAGCGCTGAGGCTGTGGAGATTGTGCCCTGTTAGAAGCACCACGCCAGGAACCGCTGATCCGCCCCGGCTGGCGGTCGGCTCCGCCGTTTCTCACGCCGGACCAGAGCATGTGGTCTCCGTGGCCCGTGGGCAGAAGAAGAGCCTGGGTGACCACAGTGCTGCTTGTTTTAATGGATGTGCTCCAAAACCTGGGGATTTTCCAGAGTCAACAGATCCTGAGCCAAGGTATAAGCCAGAGGCATTGCCTAACCCAGCAGGCACTGGAGGGCCAAGCCGAAGAAGCTCTGCATGTAAATGCTCCTTAAACAATGTTAGGCTGAGTTAATCCAGCGGTAGCTCCGGCGGGACAAACTGGAGGCTCAATCCTCCTCCTTATCTCTCCCTGTCACCGAGCCGGAGGACCGAGCCCAGCACACAGCTCTGCAGAGCCTGGGATGTTCGTGTCCCAGCATTTGGGGCTTTTTAACCATGTTCTTGCCTTCTGCCTCCGGTGGGAGTGGAAGAGCCAGAATGTTCGTGGTGCTGCGGGGACCACAAGCACCCTTTGTTGGGGGGAGATGGGTGTTGGAAGAGATCAGCCGTGGAGCCTGGACATGGAGTTGTCTTCTGGCCTGAGAGTCCTCCAGGCTTTTGTGGGATCTGTAGGATCACACCCAGGGTGCTGCTTTGCCCCTGCACGGCGTCATCCCACACAGGGTCATCCCGTATCCCAACCTGAGTCCTGCTGGAAGCTCTCTGCAAAGCTTTCCCTTCCTTTACACCAGCATGGAGCTGCTGGGGGTGAAGCCTGGCACTTCACACATGGATTTGGGGCTGGTGTTTGCTCTCCAGCTCCAAAGCAAATGAAACAGTGGGTTTCCAAAACACTGTTCCCAGAGCTGTGCATCCGACAAGCCCTGGCTCTCTGCTAGGAGGGAGTTCGTAGGAATATCCCTGAATCCTGAGCACCCTGGCACCCCGTTTGCAAATGGTTTTGGAGGAGGAGCACGTTCCTGTTTGGGGTGTGCAGCCCCAAGTGCTGCTGAGCCGTGTGTGCTAACGCTGGCAGCACTGCGTGGGGTGCGGGCAGCACCCAGCTGTGTGCGGCAGCCACGCCGAGGAGGAGAAGTGGGCACGGGCACGGCACGTCGTGGTGGCGTTTTGTTCATCCTCAGTAGGGAGCAGAGGAGAAACAAAAGCTGGAGCAGCGCAGGACACTGGGCTTGCTGGGCGAGGAGGAGAAAACAGTAATTGTGCAGAATTTCATCGGGGAGCTTGAAAAGAGGTGTTTTTGTGAGCAAATAGTCACCTCTCAGAGCAGAACTTCCCCATCTCCAATTTCAAAATTCCGTTCACATCAACATCCACTTTCATGTTGTAAAACCTGGGGAAAAGGGAAAAAAAAAAAAGCAGCTTCACACGTTTCAGTGCAAAAGCCTCATTTTGGTGAAGAAAAGGGAGGGAAAGCACTGCTCTGGTGATAGGTTTTTTTGAAAAAACAAGCTGCCCCAAATGAAAGTATGGAAATACTCAGGGACCCGCAGCAGGCGTGGCTGCCCTGAAGCCTGGGGCTGATCCTGCCCGCGCGGGGCTGAGCCTGAATGGGGCCGTGGAGCTGCCACAGGAGTCCGGCCCCGACCTTAAAAGATGTGACTTTTTGCTTTACCCCGCTTGGGGAGAATGAAAATCAGATTTGGTGGGGACTGACTTCAGAAGTGCCTCTGGCTTCATACTGCAGCCACCGTCCCCGTTTCCCACATCAGACAGGCGGGAGCAGGGGCATGGTGCAGATGCTGCACTCTGATACATAGGAGTTCCCATGAGCTTGGCATGACAGGAGCAGAGGGAAAATGCTCCCCTCCTGCCACGGGTCCAGCCTGAGGGATACATGCCAGCCAGGCAAGAAGGGACAGGGACAGCTTCGGTCCCATAAAAGCAGCCAGAGGAGGGTAGCAAGGAGCAGGGATTGTCCACAGCAGCATCCTGGGTGGCTTGTGAGACTTTCATCACTCCAGGGAAAACCCTTTCCCCTCCTCTGGGCAGCAGCACATATGGGGTTAATGCTCTGCCTTGTTCCTGCAGGTGTGGGGCAGGTGCCTCTGCTCAGCTGGCCCCATCCTGGGGCCAGAAGTGAGGCTAAGAGCAGGGTTTGGGAGGAGGTTTCTCCTCTTCCTTGATTTTCTTCTTCCTCTGTAGGACCTGGAGTTGGTTGGTGCCTTCCCTGAGGAAGAGGAGCCAGGGCAGCCCTGCCTGCCCCGGGCTTGGCTGGCTCCTTCTCTTTATACCAACCCCCATGTGCTGTTTGGTGTTGGGCAAGATCCTGGATAAAGCTCGTGGTCTCCTCGCCTGCCTGGCATAGAAAGCCCGGAGAGCAGCTCAGCTAGGAATGCCTTTTGCCCTGAGGAGCAGCTGGAAAAGCACTCGGCCTCTGAGTGTCTGGGCCAGCGGTGCTGCAAACGTGCCCCAGGTCCCTCTGCGGGGGGACCAGGACCCTCACGGGCAGCACAGCCGCCTCGCCCCGGGGCCAGCAGTGATGCTGGGGGAGCCGGTGCCCAGGAGAGCAGGTAAGCCCACTGCTGGTTTATGGATTTTGCTTGGCTGAGCTCTATTAGTCCCAGTGTGGAGACGTTAGCAGCTGGCTTTCCCCATGCCCCATCTTGTGGGGGTTGCATGTCCTTCTCTGGAAACGCCTCGTTGGGTTTATGTGGAGGGAAGGTGGCTGGGGGGGGTCTGCTTGGCCCTGCTTTGCTGCAGGGATCTGCCCAGCTTGTGTCTCCGTGGTGCCAGCAAACCCCCAAAGCACCCAGCAACGGCACCTTCTGAATGCTGGGGGAGATTTTTGCTTCTCCTGCTATACAACCGAGATAGTCTTGCGTCGATGGCGGTGGTGTGTTGCTGAGACGGCTGCTTTGTGCTTAGCGTCTGCTGCCTCTGTGCAAAGGGCTTTTTACTCTAATTTTTCTATGGTATTGTTCTTGCTGTTAGATACAAGGGACAGCATCTTCTGTCATACAACAGCCTCCTCTTAACTTTCCCAACGCACACTGGTAAAGCCAGGGTAGGCTTAACTCAATGAGCAACATTAATCATCAAATCTATAAGCAGGATATAGAAAGGCCAAGTGTGAATAATTACTGCTCAGATGCTAATTACCCAGGCCCAGACCAAACCCAACATATTAAACACACCGCTAACGGGAGCGGCCTCTCGACCACG